GAGTACCCTAGCAGAGGGCATGGGGAGCCCGGTACGGATGTGGCTGGTAAGGTCTCGCTGCAGGGAGGACCCCGAAGAGCCCCCCCCATCCTTTCGCTGCCAGTGAATTTCTTCCAACCTGCCTCAGCGGAGGTCCGGCACTGTAGTGTGCTCCTTGACTGTACAGAGCTTGCCAGGGGGAAAAATAAATAAAAATATTTTGTGCAAAGCGGCCATATGGGGTTGGGAAAGGAGGACAGACCTTTCCCGGCGGGTGTTACCGGGCTGGGTCTCCCAGGGCTGGGCTTGGACTGCTCGGGTGGTGAAGGGGACCTCAGTGAGAAAAGTTAGGAGATAAAACTTCGGTCTCCTTCTTCGATTTCCTTCTTAACTTTCTTAACTTCCGCCTTCTTCAAGATTTCATTTTTTATTCCAAGAAAATGTCTTCTAGGAAAACACACTGAGTCAATGCATTTGCTTTGGAAGATGGATTTTTTTTCGGGACTGGAAGGGGAACGGTTTGCAGCAAGAACAGATGTGAGCACCTGGGACGCGCCTGACTCTCAGACAGCGGGAAGGGGGGCCGAGACAGGGGCGTAGAGGCAGCAACAGACCCGACCTGGCGTCCAAGTCCTCCGTGCTCCAAGTTTTACCAGCTCACAAGGAATTTCTTCATTTACCTTTTCAGCTGCTGCTTCACATTTTGTACCTCTGTTCCCCTTCCCTTCTCTCGTCCTGTCGTTCTCCCTTAATGGGACGTTTCGCCCCACCAGAGCCACCAGCTTGTACAGGAGATCGCAAGACAGATGCAACGAATTGGGCATTTGGCCAACAATTTTGTTGATGGAAGAAGGATATATTTTTTCTTTCTTGCCTGTTGGAAAAAGTACAGCTCTCCAGCAGACAGCTGCATTAAAATCCGAGTGCATTTACGAAGTGAAACAAATATTCATGAAAAAGTACTGAAACTCGCTCTCTCAAGTACCAGTGCGTTAAAGATTAACACAGTCCGAAGCCTTAAGATGCCCTGATTTTAGCTCACAGAATCTCTGGCACTACAACACTTTACAGCCTGTCAGCATTTCTGCTGTCAACTCTTTTTCAAGGGCTTCTCACTCGCCCTCAGCAGCTTTCGAGGTGGAAACCTGAAGATTCGGAGTAAAAGGCCTCTTAAAACCCGGTTGGGGACATTTCCCTCGCTTTACACAGGGGCGCAGGGAAGGAGCAGGCTCCCTGCGCTCCACAGCTGGTGGCGGCCCTAACGTAGCTGGGTGCCCTGCCTTGAGCAGTGCAAACCGTTTGTAAAACATTGCAGTCTTGGCAGGATCTCTGGATCTCTTACAACTTTTAGCCCTTGAGAACTACGGAAGAGCTCTACAGACCCACGGGGGTGGATTTCGCGGTGGCTCCCTTTCTTCCTAGGGGAGCTCCGCATATTCTGCCTGAGGGTCTGCAGGCGGAAGGACCAGAGGGAAGGGGCTGGGGCTGTAGGGACTGCTCTTCCCCAGGGCCCCCCATACCCTCACAACGGCATCGCCCTCCTGCAGCAAATGCCCTCAGCAGACTGCCTGGGGTCGTGCCCGGCGCTGTACAAACACATGGCAGGGTTTCCCCGGCTCCCAGCATCCCCTTTCCCCCCTGCCCTCTCCCACCTCCATCCCTGCCTTCCCTTGCGGCACTCCTCCCCATTCCCCGGCTCTCACTTCCACTCCTCTCCCTCCACCCTTCTCCTTCACTCCGGAGACATTCCTCCTGCCATCTCCCCTTCTCTTCCTCTTTCCCCTGGGCTCCCTCGGGCCCGGCTCTTCCTCCTCCCCAGCAGCCAAG